AGCTTGTTTACTGCTCGCTTTGTCACTCCTGATGCTGTCTTCAGAACGGCAACTCGAGCAACGCCATCTCCACCGAACAGAAGCTCAATCACTTTGGCGAGGGGCCACTTCATGGGTGAAAAGTTATCGTTCTTGACCAGAACTAACTCATCGACAACCAGGCAAGGTTTTTGGGTGCGCCACTTCGAGCGCTGCTGCAGTAGTGTTAAGTATTTTTCCTTTCATCGGAACCAAAAGATCTGCTGTAAGTAAGCCACGCGTTGCCATCCATCCAAGCGATTGAAATTAGGACTGGTCACATCCGGCTTGACGAAAGAGGAAGTCGGGCCACCATTCAAAATATGTGCTGGGGCTAATACATCCAGATCACCGGGATTTTCTGAGATTGAGACTAATGGTCGAGAATGAAAAACCAATCAATAGCCTCCGCCAAGCAAAAGTCCAATGTAGCTCTCTGATGATCATTACTGAGGATTAGGCGCCTTAGTTCGAGCAGGTCATCGCGAGTGACAACAAAGTTGGTTGCATTATCAGACCAAGTCTGCCGTGGCCTTCTTCTAGTGCATATAAACCGTTTCAGGCCATGCAGAAACGACACCGTAGAGAGATCCTCTCCAAATGAATAGCCTTTGTGGCGAAACAAGTAAAGACACAAACGTAGCATTTTACTGGAGGCTTGCTTCGCATTTCTGACTTGTAGAGAAATGGCCCACTACTCCAGGCTTCAGTCGAAAGCATCTAATACATTTGTTTACTGCCTTCATCACCGTCTTCCATCCACCAATAGGCCAATATTGGAATCGAATTATGCCGAGAAGTGCCCGTGGTCAAGTTTGCAGATAGTGAGCAATAAAGGCAATAGTGACCGAACGACTCCGTTGTAATATAATTAGATGGCGCCCATTAAAATCCAGCGAAGAGTTACTTAGCTGGCCATCGACTCTAAGAAGCCCAAATTTATCGTTGAATGGCGAATGAGATGCGAGTGTGCTGGATGAGTGACCCAATCCCTTTGACTGCAATGATTTGATGTCCCATAAGTGTGAGCGCTGGACAAGACGAAGCAACAACAGAGTACCGCCTTGAAGATCGGGAACCATAAGCGGACCCGAAATGCTCCCATAATGAGAGAGTGAGCTTTGGTAGTTTTGTGGAGCACATATAAACCAGGATAGGCTCCCAATTCTCAATAATAACACCGGAAACTTTTAAGAAAGTTAAGCATCCCGACTCCTGAGCTCCTGACTGTTCACCTGCAATCGCTTATTTTCGAAACGCTCAGTTACGTTATTCCAGTCTGAGCGAAAGCCATAATTGGTGAGTGGGGATCTTGAAACTATGGAATGAGCTTCGCCACTTGTTTTTTAATTTAAGTGGTAAAATTTTTCAACGGGCGTTAGACTCGGATTGTCTATGTATATTGCCGTGAAAAGGTCCCGGAAAGTCGGCCAGCGATGATAATCGCCAGAGAAAACCTCTGTGTCGATAGGAGGGAGCCGACAGCCATAAGACGTGGAATTTTGGGTCGGAGTTACTGGAGCTTGAGGTATTTGGGAGGAGCCTTTTTGGATTTGTTCCCTCAGCTGCGCGGCAAATATTTCGTAAGTGGAGTACATTTGGTAATACTTGGACTTTAGTATGAATTTTGTGTCTGCGGCGCTCTCGCCTGCAGCTATAATGCAGTCGGGGCATATGTGCTGCCTTTACCGTTTGCCACAAGGAATTGAGGCGATCGCGACGGATTTTACAGGCGGATAACGTTGGGGTAGGAGCACCTGGAGCGTTCACAGTGGCCTCAAAGTGGATCAGACAGTCAGCTGTGGCCATAAATCGGGTTAAATCGGATTTTACTGATGTTACCATGACGTTAAATAATTTAGAATTTTAATTCAGAAGTAAGGAAACGGGTTGGAATCAAATTGAAATTTAGGAACCAATCAAAATTGTAAATATATACGATCACACTTTCGGATAATAAAGTCAATAAATATTTATTATATCGGATGGTCGACTTATGTAAAAAATTACGGACTATAATATTTTTTGTTTGGAAGGAACATTTATTGTGAGCTCTTGACCCACTGTGCACTGGCGAAAATACCGATATACGTATATATGTACACTGTACATATGTACATATGTGGGGTGCGAATAGCGAAATAACGTTGCGGGAATTGGAAAGACTTCGCTTATGTTTGTATGTCGGTGTGTTTGTTTGTCAACTGCACAACTAAATTGCAAACGATTTTCTGGAGTAAATTTGTGGATATTGTAACGTTGTTTTTAATTTTAGATATAGTTTAACCGTATTTGTAGGTCGAGAAAAGTAGTTGGAGTGTACTGTATTAGAAAGAGTAGTTAGAGTGGACTGTATTAGAAAGAGTAGTAAGAGTGGACTGTATTAGAATATTGTAACGAACTGATTTTGTGTGTCTGCTCGCTACGAGATTCGTGCGGCTAGCTCAGAAGATTGTGTGTTCGTCCCACCAAATTTATATGACGTGATTGCCCGTAGATCAGTGAGAAAACAAAGTGTTCAAATGGTAACAGTGGGATTTATTCTCGTGGTATTGGTACAGCGGGTGTGTGGCTATGCTGGTTTTTGTATCTCCTTGTTCTGGTTCCGCCGGCTGCTGGTGCTCCTCCTTCTGGCTTCTCGACGCGTTGACTCGTCCTCCTCTGGATCCTGGGTCTCGGGACGCTCGTAGTGGCCGCCTCTGCTTGCTTGCCGACACGTTGCCTCGGGGTCGCTTGTAGCGCCTTAGACCCGCAGAGAGTTCGGCCTTGTGGGCTTAGGAAAGCGTCACCGTTCTCAGACTAGGGTGAACAAGCCTTGCTCTGTCCCGGACGGTCCCGCTAGGTTCTTGCTCAGTTCGCGCTGACAGTCAAGGCTGCCGCCTGGAGGCTGTCTAGCGGTTCACTTCGCTTTACGCCTAGCGCAGACGAACGTTCCACCCGGCTTCACCCTAATGCGTGACGTCCGCGACGCTCCTGCGCTCCCCAATGAGCTCCGCGCGGCGATGGTAACGTGGCTGCCGGAAATCTCTGCTGGCGTCGCTGTCGATGTCCTCTGCGCTGTCTTCTGACCAGTATCTCGATGTTCTGGCGCTCGGGGAGCTGGGCGGTCGCTGCTCGGGAACTGACGCCTTTCGAAACCGCAAATCGATCTACCGCTCGTCCGTCACGCCAGGTCATGCTTGGTCGGGCAAGGTACGCTGGGTCGCAGACAACTTTCCTCCCCAAGCTGACGGCTCTTCGTCGTAGGACTCTTTTGCTTATCTCTGACAGACCCGCCGGGCGACTCGCCAGGGTGCGGTCGTGACAAAGATAGAAAACAAACGCCTTGACTTAGCCGCGTGATGCCTTTCAGAACTCAGCCACCTGTGTCTCAATTCGGAGATTCCTGATGTCCTAATCCCGAACGTCTCGACGTGGCGATCTTGCTCCTTGTATGCATCCCACGGCGCTGCTTCCGACGACTCGCTTGGTTGTAGCTCCCTCGTAGATTACTTGCTTGACTGATTGCTCACTTGGTACTTTGACTGATCTTGAAGGCTTGACTCCTCATGATCGACTGATCCAGCTGCCAGCGCTCTGCGGCCTTATATAGGGCCTCCAAGCACCGTTATTTCCCTTTTGCGCATGGCCCGCTGGATCTCTCCACTCTGGGTCCAAAGTTCGTGCCTCCTGGATGACCCACTTGTCCTATATGTACCGCTTCCAATAGATGTTCCGCCCACTGCTGCCGTTCCGCTGATTCCCGTGCCGCTTGTGGCACGCCTGTGTGCCGCTCCACTGCCGAGATGTGGCACTTCCTCTCCCGGTCCAAAGTTCACGGGAGAGTCCAAAGTCCAGTGGAGTTCCGTTATCCCCTTCTGCATACGGCACTCTTGCTCTGGCCGCGAAGTCTCCATTCTCTCTCGATCTCCATCCTTGGTCTCCAATCTCTCTCGCTCTCCTTCATTGGTCTCCAAACTCTCTCGCTCTCCTTCGTTGGTCTCCAAACTCTCTCGATCTCCACCCTTGGTCTCCAAACTCCCTCGTTCTCCCCGCCGCGCCGTTACTACGCGAGTTCGCCGCGTATCTGGTAAGCGGCCGGCCATCTGCTGCTGGTTCTATTTGTGGGGAGTTATTCAACTCCTCACATTCCCCCCTTACTTCGGGAAACATTTAAGACTGGTTCCTACTCTCCGGCGTTTCCTTGCTTATCCTAGCCTTTGAGTCCTTGTGATTCCCGCGGCGCTCCCTCGTTGCTCCCTCGATGCTCCCTCGACGCTCTTAACTCCCTTGAGTTCCTACAGCGGGGGTCATCCGCCTCGTAGCAACTTTAAATCTCCCGCGCCGATATTTCCTGTGTTCCCACTGGGACATCGATACTCCTGGGCTATCGATCCCCAGCTCGCTGCTCATTGCTGCGTCTCACTCCTTTCCATGTTTCCTCCGCCTGGTCACACCATTCGTGCGTGATCGATATTTATTCGCATATCGATACCGACGGTGCGGCGTTGCCACCTGCTCGTTTGCAATATTTTCACCTTGGCCGATATTTCCATTGTCGTGTGCCCATCGATCGCACTATCGTCCAGTGCCAATCGATCGCCTATCGAGGCGCCCCCTTCCCTGGCTCGTGGTGATTTTGCAATTTTTCATGGGTAAGTTCCTTTTACATTTCCTCTACTCCTTCTCATCTTATCCTTCTCTCGCCATTCGTCCTCTCTCGCCCTTCACTCGTCCTCTATCGGCTGCATCGGACTCCATTTTGGCAGCTCTCGAGAGCGGGTGCGGAGAGGACTTCGCATTCACTTTGCAACCGGGACAGCAGGTAAGTAATTGGCGTTCATTTCTTCTTCCTGGACTAAGACCATTCGACTTACAGGTTGCTGGAGTGGCCCATGCATGCCCCGTTCTTTTTCCAGCCACCCCAATCAAACTCTGGGCCCCGTACCCCTTCTCTTGTTGTTTTGGAAAACCCTTGTGTTGTTTTGTGATTTTTTTTTCATTTATTGTGCGAAAACCCGGATGCCCGCGACTCCGAGCCTCACCCGGTACCTCCTCCCGCCATCGCAGACCAGGACGCACCGCCTGCCGCCCTTCCGCCGTGCCGTCGCGACCGCGGGTGCTTCCTCAATGCCCACCGGCCACTCGCTCCTGGCGACCACGCGCCAACCGCCTTCCTCCGGCGCCGATACCTGCCGCATGAACTGCGGCCGCGGGCGCGTCGATCCGGGCGTCGAATTTTGTCGCTGCAGCGGAGGCCTTTGGGTGGCCGGTGGCTCGGGCCACACCCATGGTCCTTTCTCCGGTGACTCCGCCTCCCCCGTCGTTGCCGTCGTCGCCGGTGTTGGCGGGCCCGTGCTTGGTGTCGGCGGGACCCATGCATCTTGTCGGCTCCTCGTCCGGGGATCCCGAGGGTTCACCTTTGGTGCCCCCTCCTCCCATATCCTGGGCACCTCCTTCGACGGTCCTGTCGCGGGCCCCTCGGGCCACGTCCATGTCACCGTCTGCTGCCGCCACCGCATGCCCTCGGCCTCGAACGCCCGTGTGCTGTGGCTCACGTGCGCGGCCGGCACCTCCGTCCGCACCACCGACGGCTCGTCCGCCCTTGCCTGGTGGACGTCCTCCTCCTCCGGTTGCGGCATCGGCTGCGCGGTCGACTCCTCGCTCGGCGTCTGCTCCACCGGTCGTCGTGGCTCCGTGTATCGCGGCGTGGGTGGCCGGGCCGGCCTCCACGGCGGCGTGGCCAACGGTGCTCCATCGTCGCCGTCCGTGAGCCACTCCCCCTCGTAGCGGGGAGTGGGTGGCACCTCGGGTATCCACCGCGGAGGGGATGGCGCGCGTGGTTCGTCCTCGTCCTCGTCCCTCGGGCTGCGTTCCTCGGCCGCGTATCTGGGGGTGAGTGGCACCTCCCACGCGTCCTCCACCTGTGCCTCCCACAGCCGTCGCTCTTCTTCCTCCGCCTCTCGCAAGCGGGCATGCCACCGCGCCGCCGCCGCCTCGTGGTCCTGCCGCAGCCGCGCCTGCCTTCTCGCCTCCTCCTCCGTCGACCGTTGCTGCTCCTCGTCCGACGGCTCCCGGTCTCGGAACCGCTTCCGAGACTCCTCGGTGGCCCGACAGACCGCCTCCGAGTGGCTCCTCGGGAGTTCCTCTCCTCCGACGTCCGTCGTCCCGCGCGGTATCCGACCGCCCGCCGCCGCCTTCCGGAGTCGCCACTCTCTCTCCTCGACGGCGGGATCGCCGATCATCTCCACGTCGCTGTCGTCGCTTACCGCGGGTTCCGGTGCGGAGTCCTCGCCTCGAGTCCGCTCCAGGGCCCGCCGCGGAGCTCGGGTAGGCCGGGTCTCCGACCATCCTTGCCCCGGGCGAGGTTCCTGGAGGGCCGCCATCCTCCTGCGTGTTTCGGCTCTGGTGACGCGTGTGCTCATGATGGTGTTCTGAATTTTAGTGCTCGACCGTCGCCAGGCTCCCCATACATGAAACCTCGGTTGCGCGCCTTCCTTTTGCCCGATACCGTTATGTCCTTTCTTTGGGCGCTCGCTCCCTTACGGTACAGCTCTCTTTGCTGTACCGTCTTCCCCCTTTCTTCGTAAACCACATGTTGTATTCCCTCAGATCACCGTGGCCCTCTGGATGCTGCGGTGCGTTGTACCTCCCGGTTCCGTAATTAACTTGATCACCTTTGGTGAGTATTCTTGGAAGTTGTCCTTGGGCCTACACCTTGCTTCGGGGCGTTCCTGGTTGGTATCCTTGGTGTCCTTGGGTTATTATTGGGGTATCCTTGAGGTGTCTTTCGAGTCCTATTGGGGTATCCTTAGGTATCCTTGGGGATCGTTGGGCTATCCCTAGTGTATCCTTTGGGTACGTGATGTGCTTTCGCTACTGTTTTGTCGACCTTGTCCGTTTCCTTCCCGCTTGGCCTAAACCCGGATGACTCTGGCAACTGCCCGACGCTGAATCCTGATGCCTTGCGGTTGGATCCCTACATGTTACCCGTGTCTTTGTGTCGTCCTCGTAAGAGTCCCTTCTGCCTGGCGTAAACGCGGATGACTCTGGCCACTGCCCGACGCTGAATCCTGATGCCTTGCGGTTGGATCCCCATCCATCCTTATCCACGTCCTTGTGACCTATCCTTGTAATTATCCTTTCTGCGTGGCGTGTGGATGACTCTCGCTTAGGCCTGACGCTGAATCCTGATGCCGTGCGGTTGGATCCCCATCCATCCTTATCTACGTCCTTGTGACCTATCCTTGTAATTGTCCTTTCTGCGTGGCGTGTGGATGACTCTCGCTTAGGCCTGACGCTGAATCCTGATGCCTTGTAGACTGGATCAACGTGAAATCCTTATCCATGTCCTTGCGACCTATCCTTATGGTTGATCTTTCTGCGTGGCTTGTGGATGACTCTCGCTTAGGCCTGACGCATAATCCTGTAGCCTCGCAGTCTGGATCGACGTGAAATCCTTATCCATGTCCTTGCGACCTATCCTTATGGTTGATCTTTCTGCGTGGCTTGTGGATGACTCTCGCTTAGGCCTGACGCATAATCCTGTAGCCTCGCAGTCTGGATCAACGTGAAATCCTTCTCCATGTCCTTGTGCTACGCTGATTGTCCTTTCCGTGTGGCGTATTGATGACTCTCGCTTCGGCCTGACGCCTAATCCTGTCGCCTCGTACCTGACGTTTCTGCTGTCTGCTCGTTTTGTTGTTGCTTGAGCTCGCCAACGTGAACTGTCCTTTCTTTCTTCGACTGTGTGTGGCGAATTTTGCAGATCACTGGAGAGACTAAATCTACCACCTGGTAAGGGCCATCGTACCTCGGGGCTAATTTTGCAGCGAATCCTTCTGCCGCTTTGGACAGGTGATGTTCCTTGGCCCACACTATATCGCCCACCGCTGGTGACCACTGTCTCCTTCTCAGATTGTAGTGTCTGGCTTGGTCTTGGGACGCCTTTTCCATATTTCGCCGCACGATCTCGAATACCTCTCTTAGTTTGTTGGCATTTTCCTCAGGGGTCTCCGTAGCTCGTCCGGTTCCTAGGGTTTCCTTATCGTATAGGCTGCTGGGTAGACGTGGTTCCCTTCCCTGGGTAAGAAACGCCGGTGTATGGCCGGTGGATTCCGATGTGCTCGTGTTCACTGCTAGCATAATCTCCGGCCACTTCTCGTCCCAGTTTCTCTGGTCCTGCCCTGCGAACTGGGCAATCATGGTCTTGACCGTTCTGTTTGCTCGTTCGGTTGGATTCTCTTGTGGTGTGTATGGCGCGGTGAATTGTTGGCTGATACCCATCTCAGCCAGGAAATTTTTAAATATGCGGCTTGCAAACTGTACTCCATTGTCCGTTATGACCACCTTCGGGACCCCGTACCTTGCGATTATGCGCTCCCCAAATGCCTTTTTGAGCGACTCTGCCGTCGCACTGCGTAGGGGCACCAGTTCCGTCCATTTCGAAAACCTGTCTATCATGATCAGCAGCATTTGGTTCCCGTGCTTAGATCTTGGTAGGGGTCCAACGAAGTCTGCACATACCGTGGCCCATGGTTCCTCCGGCACTTGGGTCAACATCTTCCCAGCCGCCTGCATCTGATTGGGCTTAAACCGCATGCAAATCTCGCATTTTCGTACGTGGGCTCGGGCGTCTCTATGCATGCCTGGCCAGTAGTATCGGGCTGCCAACCGTGCAATTGTCCTTCGGCTTCCTACGTGTCCCGCGGACGGTGCGTCGTGGTTTTCCCTCAACACTGTTTCTCGTAGCGACTTCGGGACGCACATCTTCCATGACGCGACGTCTTCACTGCCTGCTCGGTGAGGTATGTTTCTGTACAGTGTCTCACCATCCATAACATAGTCCGGGTACTTCTGCGGTTGGGTCCTTATCTTTTCGCCCATATCCTTGATCCAGCTGCACCCTCCTGAAGCTGTAGTTGCCGATGCCTCCTTTAAACCTCGTAGTGTTTCCGGTAGTGGTTGTCTTGATAATGCGTCTGCCACCACGTTTAGCTGACCCTTTCTGTACGCTATCTCAAAGTAGTACTGTTGTAGCTCCAGGGCCCATCTGGCGATCCTTCCTGAAGGGCTTTCGATGCTGTTGAGCCACTTCAGGGCCATGTGGTCGGTTACTACCTTAAAGTGGTAACCTTCCAGATATGGCCTGAGCTTCCGGATCGCCCAGACGATCGCCAAGCATTCCTTCTCCGTTGTCGAGTAGTTCTTTTCCGCGCCGTTCAGTGTTCGGCTCGAGTAGGAGATTACTCTTTCGCCCTTTTCGGTGTCCTGGGTCAGTATCGCTCCGATGCCGTAGTCGCTGGCGTCTGTTTGCAGGATGAAAGTTCTACTGAAGTCCGGGCATGCTAGCACTGGATCTGCCACGAGTCTTGCCTTAACCTCCTCAAACGCCATCTGGTGCTCTGGTGTCACCTCCCACTTACTGCCTTTGCGCAGCAGGTCGTTCAGGGGTTTGACGATTCTGGAAAAATCTGGTACAAACCGGCGGTACCACGACGCTACTCCTAGGTATTGCCGGAGCTCTTTGACAGTCGATGGCGGTTCTAGTTCGGCGATGGCGGCTACTTTTTCTGGATCTGTTCCTATTCCCTCGCTAGTCACTCGATGACCCAGGTACAGCAGCTCCTTTTTGAAGAATTGGCATTTTTCTGGATTCAGCCTCAGATTTGCCTCCTTTAGACGCCGGAACACTTCCTTCAGGTTTCTTTTGTGTTCTTCCAGCGTGCGACCGATCACTATTATGTCATCCTGGTAAGCGAATGCGTGAGGTGACATCTCGGGGCCGATTACTTGGTCCAAGACTCGCTGAAACGTTGCCGACGCCGAGCGAAGTCCGAACGGCATTACCCTCCACTGAAACAGACCTTTGCCTGGTACCGTAAATGCTGTATATTGCCTGCTACTTTCTTCTAGTGGGATCTGCCAGTATCCATCCTTCAGGTCCAAACTGCTGATGTACCGCGCTTCTCTTAGTTGATCTAGGATGTAGTTTATGCGGGGCATTGGGTAGGCATCCTTCACTGACTTCGCGTTGATCTGCCTGAAGTCGACACACAGTCTCCACTTGCCTGTCTTCTTTTTCACCATCACGATGGGGGAGCTGTATGGGCTCTTTGAATGCTCTATGAACCCCATTTGGAGAAGCTCGTCCACCTTTACGTTGATTTCCCCTTGAATTTTTGGGTTCTTTGGGTAGTATCTCTGCTTGATTGGCTTGTCGTCCTTCATTTTGATCTGGTGTTCTGCCATATTCGATGTTCCCGACATTGTGCTGAAGTCTGCCAGCTCTGTTTCAAGGGACGCTGTAGTATCGTCCAACTCGTTTACTTGTTGAACGACTGCTACTGATAGCTTTTCCTCGAGCCATCCATTGTGTCGGTTCCTGGCTGGTATTATTATTTCGTGTCCAGCACACCTTATCTCGGTTCCGACTTGTTTCAGGAAGTTCCATCCCAACACTAATGGATCCACTACCCCGGGTAAAATCAACAGGCTCATGGTCACTTGTTTGTTGCCGAATTTGACCTCCACCTCGAGCTGCGCATTAATTCCGCCGCACCTTCCATCTGCCAACCTAACTTGCCGTCTCGTCCTTGTAATCTTTCCTAGAGCAGCAATATTGTCCGCCAATTCTTCGCTAACGAAGCTTGCCGTTGCTCCGGTGTCGATTGTGGCTTTGTAGCTTTTCCCACCAATCATCACAGCTGCGGACAACTGCTGCTCCTCCTCGATTAGCTCGCCCGTTAGTTTGGAGAGGTGGCATTGTGCGATCCCCGCTCGCCTCTCTGCGGCTGAGATCGCTGGCCATTTCCCGATCGTTGGCAGCAATCGACGCTTCTAACACCCACCTTGCCGCATATCCAGCAAAACAGCAGCCGCTGGTTACGACATCCTCTAGCCCAGTGTCCGTTCCCACCGCATTTCCGACAGGCCTCCAGCGGGTCTGTGATATGGGTGGCATCTTGTGGCCTCTGTGTGTTGCTTGGTGGCCTCCACAAGGTATTGTTTGGCTGTCTCTGTTGCTGTGGGGGTGGTGCCCAATGGCCTCCGCGTGGTGCGTCTGTTGCCTGCTGTCGTCTGGCTTGGTGTGGTGGTGACCATTGGTCGTTTCCTCGTGTGTCCTGGTTATCTTCCTCCTCGCATCTCCTGCATGTCACCTGTGTTGGTGACGCCGACTTTGTCTTTGAGAACTTGTTCTCCTGTGCGAAGACTTCCCGTTCCTTTTCCAGTTCTTCGTACTCATCGGCTAGGATCATTAGCGTGTCCAGGTCCGACACTTTGTATGCTCTTAAGAACATTCGTAGGCTCGGGGTGCAGTTCTCTTTAATGACCCTTAACGTCTCTTTCGTAGAATAGTTAAGTGGCCTCACCATCGTCTGCATGT